TCTTTCCCTTTGATCACTATGTCGCCCACCCCACTGCCTGTCACCACAGTTACGTGACACCCCTGAACCCCTGGTCTTTCAGACTCCCCATTCTCCACATTTTTTTTTTTTTTTTTTTGGTACACAAATCATCCCTCTGAAAGCTTTCCATTTAGCCTAAATACGTACCCTAACTGTTAAGGAGAGAGAATGATTGTAGACTCAAACTTTCATATTCACCCATTAATAAATAAATACTTTTTAAGGGCAGATTACATGCCAGACACTTATGACACCAAGAATGGATTTCACCTGTGTATTGACTCTGACCCATTGGTGTTGGCTGCCTGGAGGGCTGTGTTGAGAAGGATTCTGAGGCCCATCTGGGCACAGTATAAAAAGAGTCTGGGATTAGCACTGCCAGTCACACCACCCAGCGCACCTCAAAGAGAAGGTATCCTCTGCCTCTGCTTCCTTCTGTCACTCCCCCCTACCCCAGTGGCCCCCAGCAAGTCAGCAGCACACGGCACCCTCTCCACCTGCAGCCTTCACACATCCTCTGGAGAGAGGGAAGGAACCGGGAGCTCAGGCTGAGGCGTGAAGAGCCCTGGGTGCAAAGCGCAGCTCCCACACCTACTGGCTGGGTGGCTCTGGGCCACACTAACCACAGAGCTGCCCTCCTGTCTGTGTAAAAGAGGGTAAGAGAGGCCTCACAGGTTGTCCTGAGGAGCAAAGGGGACAGTTAACTCCGAGCCCTCAGCAACAGAATCTGATCCCCCACTATCTGGTCTCACCTGCTGGCTGAACAAGCAGAGCTGCAGTTCCAGGGAGAGCTTGCCCTTTCTGGGAAAGTTCAGAGAATTCTGGTGCCCTCAGAATCTCAGTCTCATCTCTGGTTCCTCTGAATAATCTCCAACCAGAACTTCCTGAAATCCCCTCACTGCCTCACATTCCTTTGTCTGCTTCCTCTGCCAGCTTTAGCCCCCGACCCTCTAGCTTCTGTTCACCTGGATGAAGTGCTTGTCCCTCCCTCCCTCCCTTCTCTCCTTTTCCTCCTTCCTTCCTTCCTTCCTTCCTTCTTTCCTACCTTCCTCCCTCCCTCCCTCCAACCCTCTCCAGCCCTGGCTCTGTGCCAGGTGCTGAGGCATCCCTGGAACAAGAGATGGACTCTGCAGTGGTGACACTGGATTAACACTGGAATGTGGGAGTGGACGGGCCATTCAAAGGGCTGGGAAATGGCATTCCAGGCAAAAGCAACAGCAAGTGCTGGCCAGGGGGGAGGGGGAGGGGGGAGGCTGAGCAAAATAGGTGAAGGGGATTAAGAGGCACAAACTTCCAGTTATAAAATAAATAAGTTACTGAGATGTAACCTACAGCATAGGGAATATAGTCAATGATACGGCAATAACTTTGTACAGTGACAGATGGTTGCTAGACCTATTGCGGTAACCAGTTTGTGATATACATAAATATCGAACCACTGTGTTGTACACCTGAAACTAATACGATATTATACGCCAACTCTACTTCCATAAAAGGAAAGAAATAGCGAGAGCAAAGCCCAGAGGTGGGGAAGACAAAACAGAAGCCGACATGTGTGAAGAACCGTGAGCCGAGGGTGGGGTGATAGGTGCGGAGGCAGGAGAGGTGGGCAGACCCATGAGGTCTGGGGCCAGGCAGCAAGCCTGGGATTTACGCTGATGCTGGTGGAAAGCTTTGGGAGACTCCAAGCAGGGGAAGGATATGAGTGACTCGTGAAACCAGAACATGATCTCGGCGAGGGCACGGCTCTGTTTTCTTCTCTTCCGGCACGTTAATGAATTTTAATAAAGGCCTTTCGGGCAGTTGGTGGAGAAAAGACAGAAAGAACAGAGGTGGAAATCAGGAGCCCAAAGAATCACTGCATATATATCCCAGAGCCTATAATTATAATTCATGCTCATCAAATACTCAAAGGTTATTTCATAAGAAGGGAACAGCGGAGACAGCAGGAGGGCGCATTCAGTCTTAGAAGCTCAATAACTCACATGGACCAGACATCGATTTTGGGGCCGTATTTCTTCCTGGCAAGGAGTTCGGGCGCAGCGTACGCGGGGCTGCCACACTGTGTGCTGAACGGGTCGGAGTGGCCCAGGATCCCGGCACAGTTGCTCAAACCAAAGTCTGCAAAGAGGGGAGGACAAAACCAGCCCTGAATTAGAAAACCATGGAAATGAAAAAGGGGGGGAGGGTTGGGGGAAGCAGCAGGAAAGGAAACATTCTCTCGGGCTAACACATCATTTCACATCCAAAAGGAAACCCAGCAGCTGTGAACCGTAACCTCTGGATATGGGTCTCAAGACAAAAGTTCCCTTGCTGAACTGGAAACATTTTCTATCAGGCCTCACAGTCAAATCCAGCGAGAGCTAAAAAGTATGTTGAACCAAAACATATTTTCATCAAATCTTGGAAATGAGTCATCCAGAAAAAAAGACAGGCTTGCTTTCTAGGACTAAAGGCAGAGGGAGAAAATGAGCAGAAGTCCTTGGAGTCAGCCTGCTGGCTTCCAAGTGGCCAAGTGGGAAAAAGCCGCAGGAAGATTGATTTTCTCTGGCTGGTGTTGGTGTCACCCCAGGTGACATGCGATCCCACCAGTTAGAGTTGACTTTTTTGGCTGAATGCTTTCATTTCACGCAAGTCTCTTAAAAATGCTCCCAAGGCATGAGGCAACATATGGTGATTTGAAAGGGGGGGAAAAATACACCCAACAATTTAGACAACGGCTGAGTGTTGGCCGGAAAAATAACGCCAGAAAGATAGCAATGAGAACTAGACTAAATGACCTCCTAGCATTGCTTTGTTCCTGGATGATTAAGGCAGGCGGGGGGGGGGAGAAGAAAGAAGCGCCCAGTGCATCTAAAGCCATACTGGGTCCATTGTGCCTTTTGTGCTGTGTTTACATTTGATCTTACAGATCCTGTAACTGACAGGTCATTAGAGGGCTGTTAGTGTTAGGTGCTCATCTGATATCTTTCCTCAATCTTTGTTGATTGAAGAATTAAGAGCATGGCTCCTCCTTTGAACTTCAATGTAAATATTATGGTTCTGGTCCCCAAACAGAAGGCTCAGCCCCCCGGGGCTCAGTCAGAAAGGGGCTGTGGTCAGAGACAGGCTCCACATAGGGAACAAAACCCTTGCACTTTCTTAGCTGGCAAGATATACATCTAATTTCGTTGACTGTCTTCTCCTTGAGGCTAACACGCCTCCACCTGCAAAGCCATGGCTCTTGTGAAAGCTGTAGGAAAGCTCCGGAATGGAGAGACACAGGGTGGGTCAGTGCTACGAGTCCGCGAAGCCACTCACACACCACAGATCAAGATGCATCACCAAAAATTCTCCCCGCAGTCGCTGGTGTAAGCCGTATAAGGAAAGAGCGCTTCTGAACAGAATGCCAGGACTTCCCTGGTGGCTCAGTGGTTAGGAATCTGCCTGCCAATGCCGGGCACATGGGTTCGAGACCTGGTCCAGGAAGATCCCACATGCCGCGGAGCAACTAAGCCCATGCGTCACAACCACTGAGGCTGCAGTCTAGAGCCCGTATGCCACAACTACTGAAGCCTGCGCTAGAGCCCGTGCTCCGCAACAAGAGAAGCCACCACGATGAGAGGCCCACACGGCAACGAAGAATAGCCCCCCCCCCGCCGCCGCAAATAGAGAAAGCCCGCATGCAGCAACGAAGACCCAAAGCAGCCAAAAATAAATAAATAAAATGTTAAAAAATAAATAAATAGAAGCCCATCCAAGCAGAGCTCTGAAAACACATCAGGGCTCTGAAGACCACCCAAACTCTTCAGCTCAAGATTCGAATGAAGAATCGGAACCAAAACTGGGGTGAGGAAACCAACTAGGAATGCTGCCTGTTCACATACTTGACTCTTCTTCTGTCTGGGGGAGTTTTCTAAAATACGATTTTATTCCTTTCTCTTAATCTCCCTCCTCCTCTCTTCCTCTGCTCTCTACTCTTCCACTCCCACCCTGACAAATAGGGGGACAAAAGGCCCCGATTTCTTATCCCATCGGTCCAGCCTGCACAAGCAGGCCGCACATAACCTGCCCAAAAAGGCCCTTCAGGGGCTCCACGGCTCTCTTGGATTAGGACGAGATCTCTGTTCAAAAGGATCTGAGGGCCCCTGCTCTCAGGTCCCACCCTGGAGTATCACTGAAGTTGGAGGAGTGGGGGCATCATAAGTCGAAAAATCATTATTGAGCTTTAAACTGAATGGCCGTTTAAAATTCCCAAAGGAAACAGCCAAGGTGTAAAGATCACCCACTATGGTAAGACCGAGAGGTAGCACCATGGAATACACATCATATTAACTGGGCCAACATTTCAAGGAAAATTTCTTTAACAGTCATGTTAGAGGCCCAATCTCCTAAGAGCCCCTAAACTAAAAGCCTCCCTTTCGAATCTCCGTGGGGTTCCATTAACTGGGCAGTGGTTGAGAGTCCGCCTGCCGATGCAGGGGACGCGGGTTCGTGCCCCGGTCCGGGAGGATCCCACATGCCGCGGAGCGGCTGGGCCCGTGAGCCATGGCCGCTGAGCCTGCGCGTCCGGAGCCTGTGCTCCGCAACGGGAGAGGCCACAACAGTGAGAGGCCCGCGTACCGCAAAAAAAAAAAAAAAAGAAAAAAAAACAACTCCTTCAGTTACTCGCTCACCTCCTGACTTGGGGTCTACAACAAAGTGCTTGATCTTAAAAGAGGGCAGGGGAGGGGAGATAAGAGACCAGATCACCCCCCTTTGCTCCCAGGCAAGCCTGCGCACACAGCGTCTTGCCTTGTCTTAAGTTTCAAGAAGATAAATAATGAGAGGATCTGGGGAATGGAGAAGATAAAATCTACATTTTAAGTGACTTATGTTGACCTAGCTGAAAGGGTTTAATTTAAAATATATTGTAGAGAAATAACTATTATGTTTCACATTCATAACTGTAATTATTGAAATTTTACACATATGCCTATAATTAGAATTGTGAGACTAGGGAGAAGTTCACCTCCCAGTAATGTCACATGGGTCTGCCTCAATTAGATTTGGTAAACGCATAAGCCAATTATCACTCAATTTTCTGGGAGCCACACAATGAATTTCAAAAGACGTCCAAATGAACGCTGTTTTGGAAAACTGAAGTGCAAAATCGTTTTAAGTTGTGGTTGATACATTTTAAGATTATACTAAACTAAAAACATCAAACTGCTTTTTTTTTTTTTTTAAAGGGGGTGCGGGGGAAGGATCCTGATTAAATCAAATCTCATTCCAGCTAATTCTAGTTAACTTGAAACATGGCTTAAGTAACTCTATTTAAATCAGATTATTTCAAAGAGAAACTATTAAGAGAAAATGGTAATAGCTATAATCAACCTTTGAATAAACAACTAGGTAATTCCTTTGAAGAAAAGGTTCAAAGGACTTTCAAGTTGCAAAAGGACTGTTGTAGAGACATTTGATCCAAATTGCCCAACCCAGGGGCAAGAAAACCCACAAGACACTGGGCCTTCCTTGCCTCCAGCACCTTCCCTCCCCTCCTTCGGCCTCCTCTTTAGGAATAAAATGAGGAAACGCAGATTCTGCTAAACAGAACGCAATTCCCAGCTGCCCTCTGGGATGGCATAATGTCTCCTTCCATTAGGAGTTTGGTTTTAGCTAATCATGAGAGAAGTAGGCGCCAAGTGAAAAGATCTAACAAAGGGACATCTAATTATCAGAGCCTCCTTTCCAGCAATTTTGGGAATTCCAGTTTCTGACACCTGGTTTCTGACATGGCGCATTTTGTCTGGATGAGCTGAAATCCCTGCGTGGGTACCAATCCAGCGGTTGCCAAGCTGGGAGATGATGACTGAGTAAAATGGTCCCTGGTATCCAAAGGGTCCACCACTCATCCCAAGGCAACTGTGGCCTCTAATTTAGGTCCATCCTGTCTTCATCTTATTTGTACAGGTCTCCTCTAAGAGGGTTTATTATGCAGCCAATCTGTGAGCTACTTATTAAATGCATCTGCTGTTGACAGAGATTGGTTCTTCAAGGATCTTCTCAGCAATGAAAAGATCTGTGCTTTTCAACACTGTATACTCTCACAAATGGTCGTCTAGGGCTATCATTTGGAGAGAGAGAAGGGAAAGCAAGCACAGGGGCAGACAGTGAGGCAAAGTGAAGGGAAGAAACAGCGTAGGGGATGCTGGGTGGGTAGGGAGACCCCCTGCCGGTGGCCTGCTCTTTGCTGGAATTACCAGCGTCAGTATAGACTGTGCGCAGGGGAAGTGAATTATTCTCACTCTTACGGTCATGGACATCCAGCCTTCACACAACCTGTTCTCTTACAATCTCTGCAGCTTTAGGGCAACTCTGTGACTGTCACCTACACACTTGCCAAAGACAAGTTCCAGGTCACCCTGCCAGGGAACCTAAAAAACAATCTCCTTTCCTCCGTCCCTCACCAGGACATGACTTTGTTTAATGCCGCAGATCCCGGAAACCAGGACCAGAAAGATATCCTGCAGGCATTTCAATGTCTGCCTTGTTTAGCGCTGCTGCATTTGCCCTCAGGACAACTCAAATGCAGTAGTAAAACAATTTGATTTAAAAAAAAATTCTTTGAATCATCCAGGAATCTTTTAACAATACCGTCTATAAAATCTTTGGGGGAAAAAAACTGGTTTCCTCTTAATTGTTAATCTCCTAATAATGGGTGTATTTATCAACACCTGTCAGTGGTGCCTAATTACCCAGCCAAGGGGTCTGGAGTCCCTTGCAGCCTCTTGACTGTTACTGGGTTGGAAGCCAACTGGACTTCCAAAGAATATAATTGGTCACTTGAATGATATGGTTTAGAAAGTCTTGAGATGGTTTTCAGTATTTGACAAACAAAATTTCCTTCTTGGGTACAAAAGTTAAAATTCACAAAGTTTGGGCTTCCCTGGTGGCACAGTGGTTGAGAGTCCGCCTGCCGATGCAGGGGACAGCGGTTCGTGTCCCGGTCCGGGAAGATCCCACATGCTGCGGAGCGGCTAGGCCCGTGAACCATGGCCGCTGAGCCTGCGCGCGTCCGGAGCCTGTGCTCCGCAACGGGAGAGGCCACAACGGTGAGAGGCCTGCGTACCGCAAAAGTTCATTGGATATAAAGTCTTTGAAATGTTTAATAACACAGGGAAAGCTCATAATAAAATGTTTTAGTGAAAAAAGAAGGCTAAAAAAGATATGCACCACTATGATTCAAAATCTATTTAAAAAAAAAAAAAAAAAAAAAATTCACCAAGTTCTATTGATCCTCCTCTTTTCTTCTAATATAAAATTTTTTCAAGCAATTGAGGTGGAAGAAATTACTTGCACTTGAGGTGGGAAAAGAAAGAAAGGAATGAAAGATGATGCTAAAATCTGGGTGGAAAAATGATGCCCTGAGATTTTGCCAAGAGCAACAGAACAGGCAAACAAAAGCAGAATTCTAGAGTATAAGCCATGGAGTGAATTCTCTTCTGGGTCATGACTTGTGAACCAATTATGATTCACTGCATCCTGGAACCTCCTTCTGATTCGGACAGACCTCTAAAGGATCCCTCTGTGGGATCCTTCCTCTTTGCTGGACCATCAGCGTACAACAGGGCTTGGCTAAAGATATTAAAATGAGAAGGTAGGTCACATTCCCCCTTATTTCAGTGCCTCTACATTCACTGAAAAGTAAAATAAGGCATGGCCAAGCTAAGGGCAGCATTTCTGAACCAAACTATTTTCCACTATTTTTAAGAGGCGTTCTCATGAATTCAGATAAAAAGAACCCCTATAAAAGTTCAGCTCCATCTGACTTAACAGAGAAGCAGAAGTTTGAAGAATCCTAAGAACATGTTTTATGTCTAAATTATTAAAATTAATTTTCTTTTTCAAAACCATTGTTAAATGTTGCAGGTAAAAGGAGGTGAACTGGAAGTATTGTCTGGGGATTAGAGATAGATCATGATAATTTTCAAAGTCAGAAACAGATAACTGAGAATTGATAACACAGCACTTAAAGGATAATCTTGCTTTAAAAAAAAAGTCATACCAATCAGCTTGATATTATTGTCTTCATCTAGCAGCAAGTTTTCTATCTTCAAGTCTCTGAAATAAACAAAACCATACAACATTTCAGATAAGCGCTTGAAATAGTGGAATGACATTTTGCTTCTGAAGGGAAACAAACTGTTTTAGAGCCACTTTGAACCAACCCATAAGGCTTTCTGCCAAAACTCACACAATCAATAAGTAAATATTTATAAAACATGATATAAGTAATTGCTGCAGACTGAAAAAGCTAAAGGATTTCAGATAAGATGGGGAGCAAGAAGGGCAGAACAAATAAGTTTCCAAAAGAAACGGGACCAAAGCTGAAACTTGGAAGCTCTTAAGACCGGGAAACATTGGAAGCATCACTCAAGGCAGGCACTGTTAGAACAGTCAGGGAAATACAAATGTGGCCACATGTTTGTGAGACGGTGAGCAAAACCCGCCAGAGTAAGGAAGATTCAGGGAAACAGTTTTTTTAAAAAAAAAATGGAAAGCTAACATAATTATCGGTCCTACAACCTCCATGCTTGGAGCCCAATCCACAAATTGGCAAGTGATAATAAATCAATCTATTTAGCAATCAGCTATTATGGTGGGTAGAAAAGTAGACCCCAAAGATGTCAGGGCCCTAATCCTTGGTATTATGCCCAAGGATATGTTAACATTACATGACCAAAGGAAATTAAGTTTGCAGATGGAATGAAGATTGCTAATCAGATGGGTGACTTTGATCATGGACACTGAGATGATTCAGAAGGTGGGAGGGAGAAATGCACCCAGGGTCATGCTGAGTGTGAGGGGCCTGTGGTATCTGTACAAGCTGACTGTAAGCCCCTTGAAGGCAGGAGACATGTCTGCCTTGCTTACCACTATGCCCCAGTACCTTTGCACATTCCACACTCAGCAAATACCAATGAATCTACATTACCAAAGCGATCGTTTGGGATTTCAGAAGGAAAAAACACGGACAAAAGTATAAACCATCTATGTCAACGACTATGAGCCTCTTTTAAGTTGCAGCCTGTCAATTCAGACACACCATGAACATTAAATCTGTAAGAATATTCTTCCCTTCTATACACACACAAAATGATTTCTTCCATTGTTTTGAAACACAGCATTCTTGGTCCAGCTTTTATTTTCCCGCTTCTGAATAGAGACATGGCCAATAGGATTATTTTTGTCCTCTTATCTCTATTGTTAGGACTAGAAAAGTGTAGTCGATGATAAACAAAAATGGCAACTGATAGCACTTCTCCAAAGTGCAGAGGCAAGGGGAGCAGCAGTTGCTAGGACCCTGGTAGCCAGGAGAGCAACAGTGTCCCATTTAACGGGGACAGTGGCTCACAGCTTGGTCCCAGCACTGCCACCTCATCCTGCTTCCCAAGAGAAGCCAGAAATCTAGATTCGATCCCAGTTTTTTAAATGTTGGCAACAAATTCACATTTAAATCAACAATAACAATCACAGAGCGTGGGCCAACCTTGCAGGCAAGATCCAGCCTACAGACTACCAATTTTCAACCTCAGTATGCGCAGAAGCTGAGCCTGGAAAGGACATGAGATGCCCAGGGAGAGGGTAGAGAATGAGGGTGAAAAGACCAAGGACGACATGCTGGTGGGAACACCGACATTCAGAGCTGGCTGGGAAGGAAGAGTCAGGGAGGTATTGGCACAGGACGACCAAAGGGCAGCATTTCAAGACGAGAAGAGTTAAGGAGTCAAGTGCAGAAAAAGGTGGGCTCTAAACAGTGACCAGTGGATTTCAAAATTGGAAGGTGGCCGGTAGCCTTAAGGCTGGACACTTGAATAAGGGAGATTGCGTTGAACCTGGCAGCTGGGGAAGGTAAATCGATAGTCTCTAATCCACATGCACCACCAACGGGAAGAACCGTATACCTGCACTTCAATTCAAATGAAACGATACACTTGAAAAACTGTGCCAGGCTTTAAGAAATGTCACATATGTCCAAATGCAGGGTGACCCCCAGTACAAGATGTTCCTCCACACTTTCCCAGTGGGAGGACCCTGCCCCTCAGAAGCGTTTTTGGAAAACACAAATACATAATTTTTAGAAATGCAATGAAATTATCAAATGACTATTTATACTATTTACCTATGAAGCTGCACCATCCTATTTAAGAGCATATACTATCATCTTAACATAATTAATTGTAGAAATATTGTTCCCACACCCTCACATTTTATGACACAGTTTCATTCAAACTTGTGGCAGGCAGGGGCAGGATGAATCCTGCTTCAGATGATTCAGCAGAATCATCGCCCGCTGTTTCCAGCGTAAGATGATCTTTGAGTTGATTGGATATTTGAGATAAAGCACTTTTCGAATCTGTCTGTGACGTGCTTGCTGGAAATATTATCCCAAGTCATTTAAATAACAGGAGCCCATTTAAAAATCTCTATAAATTATCTGCTGAGTGAATCAATTTTAGAGTGGTCTCACAAACTATCACAATTGTGAGTCATATCTCTTTAGAAGTTATTATTAAAGCCACGCAAAATGCCTCCCTTTCTGTTGGTTTCCTCAGGCGACTTCTAGAGTTCCCAAAGTCATCAGTGAGTCAGGTCAAGGTTAACCGGTCCTTTGTTGTTGAAAATAAAGTAATTGAGATTGTGCCCCCACACTATCAGAGACTTTGCAAGCACTCTGTAAGGCACTTCCTCTTTCCTGAAGAGGCTGGGGACAGAAGACAACACCCTTATATTCAAGCATATACGGTCATTCCCAGCCACTTGCACAGACTCGGAAAAACAGTGTGCCAGCAATAGCCCAAACTGTGATTCTGTGAAAACTGATTATAAAGCAGCAGCATTATTTTAATCTAAAGGAGAGCCACAGTTTGTTTCCAGCAAAATTAAACCTCTTTCCCGGGGAAGCGTGGAAGCCACACTAAGGCATTAAAGGAGAAATTTGGTTCAGGACAAATACTATAAAGAAAAACAGCTTAAAGAGGTGAGGTAAAAGAATGCAATTGTCAAGAATAATAAGACTAAGCTGGATAATTCTGGGGCCACAAAAGCCCAGAGAACAACCACAGTGATTAGAAGAATGATATAAATAGAAGGCTAAAACTAAGAGAAAAATGTAGAAGGGAAAAAAAAGACCACTTTTAGGGAAAAATGTCATAAAACCAGGGGAGAAAGCATTAAAATGTAATTATTAGGCAAAATGAGAAAAATGAAATCTCACCCATTGCGTCCATAGTCCCCCACCCCAACCCCTAGGAAAAATGCTCAGAACAAACCTGGTTAATGGGTTGTTTACCCATACCCTTTTGTCAAGGTTTCTAAAGGATTTCAGTGATAACCAATCTAACTGCCTCCATGACTAGTTAATGGAAAGGTAGCTACATCAGTACCTGCCCAGATCAATGTACTTAATCTACCCAAATGAAGGGAACATTCAACCTCTTTTGGCTTTATTTCCACCTCCTGCTTCGTCTTTGAAGATTTATCTAGAAAGAGAAGAAGACTTTCCTTCTGACTCTTTAGGAAAAAAGGGTCTAAAATCATATTTTAAAAAGTCGTTTTAGCCTAAGTATTTACCCAAACGCGTTGAAAACTTATGGACATGAATGTTTACAGCAGCTTCATTCGTAATTGTCAAAACTTGGAAGCAACCAAGATATCCTTCAGTAGGTGAATGGATAAACAAATTGGGGGACATCTCAGACAATGGAATATTATTCAGCCGTAAGAAGAAATGAGTTACGAAGTCATGGAGGAGCCCTAAATGCATGTTTTTAAATGAAAGAAAGTAGTATGAACATACTACATACTGTATGATACCAAATTCTGGAAAAGACAAAACTATAGACAGTGAAAAAAATCACTGGTTGCCAGAGGTTGCAGGAGGAGGGCTAGAATGAATAGGTGGAACACATTTTTTTAGGGTGGTAAAATTATTCTGTATACTATAATGGTGGCTGCATGACATCATGCATTTGTCAAAACCCATAGAATGTATAACACAAAGAGTATCCTAATGTGCTATGTACCCTAATGAACCCTAATGTAAACTGTGCATGTTAGATAATAATAATGTATCAGTGTTGGTTCACCAATTGTAATCAACGTCCTACACTATCATAAGATACTAATAATAGGGAAAACAATGTAGAAGGGAGGTGGGAACTCTGCAGTTCTGCACAATTTTTCTGTAAACCTAAAACTGCTTTTAAAAATAAAATCTAGGGCTTCCCTGGTGGCGCAGTGGTTGGGGGTCCGCCTGCCGATGCAGGGGACACGGGTTCGTGCCCCGGTCCGGGAGGATCCCATATGCGGCTGGGCCCGTGAGCCATGGCCGCTGAGCCTGCGCGTCCGGAGCCTGTGCTCTGCAACGGGAGAGGCCACAACAGTGAGAGGCCTGCGTACCGCAAAAAAAAAAAAAAAAATCTATTAATTTTTTAAGTAGCTCTTGGATATTTTCCCCCTTCCTAAGATATCAGTACTAGGAATGCTATGGCTACGACCAAGTACCTCATTCAGGATGTTCACTGTGGAGCATCCTTACCGCCTGAAGTTAATTATGAATCCATGCAGCACAGTGGTCCACTCAGACCCTCTGCCCAGCTACTCAACATATGACCCAAAAGGCCAAAAACTGAAAGATAACTACATGAGTAATAAAAGAAGGATGAACTTATTCACAAGGTTTTAGTGTTAGTGTATCACAATGTACCTTAAATATGTAATACACAGAAACACACACACACACACATACTGGCAGGCCTCTATAATCCAGAAAACCTCCCCCATGGTCCATGTGAAAAGCATGGTTTTTAGCTCCATCCCGAAAACAAAATATTTGTCTGTGTTAAGTGTCAGATCTGTCAGATGGGAAGGAAGGTTCTGACAGCTGACTGGTTTGCACTTGATGATGGGGCAATGCTCAATCTCACATTTATGGTCCTTGATCGGATTTAGCACTTTGTGGAGACGAGAGAGAAGTGGAGGGCTCTTCCTCCCGTCCTGCAGTGTGAGAAGTTCCTCTCTGTGGCTGGCAAACTTGAGGTGGTGTGAACTTGCAACTG